TTTAAATGATGAATTACAGCAATGGATAGTTTTTATTATTATCAATGTTGATTCAAATATTTCATAATTCATTAAAAATATCAAGTGGAATGTTTCTTGGAAATGAAAATAGAGGGTGTGCAGGTGCAATCCTCAGTAGTAATTACTAATGGTTTTATTGCTCCCTTTCACAGCAGATAACCATCTAATCAGAATGGGAACTTTGGAGTAGAAGAATTGCATAAATACAGAGTTCAAAATCATGATCCCCTGTGTGCTATATATTCAGGAGTAAAAACCGAATGAAAATCTAAAGGAAATAATTTTATCCAGGTCAAATTCTAGTGTCCTAGAAGGAGCTCATATAAGCATAGCATCAGCAGATAGACATAAATGAGTAAATTTATCTGACATACAAGCACCTGGAGCATGGCACATATCAACAATGCAAATGCCATCATCATCATCATCACACTTATCAAACCAGCAAAATCGGAAGGACTTTTCAAAATTCAGCCAAAAAACTTCTGCCAATTATTCCAAAGTTCTACTAACTGATAAAGAGAAATTAAGAATACAGTCATGGGCTTTTACAAAATATGTTATTCCAGAGTAAAAGCACAATCAGGCTAAATTAACTCAGAATTTGGTGATGAATACTGTCATGAAATGGATAAGAACTGTAAGGGGGAACAATTAGCCATTCAGAGAAGAAATTTACCCCAAAGAGATCACCTGTCAGTATTTGTGGGGAAACTGGGGAAAAAAAAAACAAGATCCTGTGATAGCAATTAGAGAATAAATGAGTAAAGCAGACAGTGAATGAAAAACAAGTAGCCGAGCATGTGGTCCTGTGATGACATGGCAACCAAGGTTAGAAGAGCAGAGATTTACATGAAGGATCGATGTAGAAACTACATAGATCTTCTCAGTGCATAGTTCTATGCACAGAGGAAAGACTAATGTACAGACAAAATATTCAAGAACCCTTCTGCAACAGGATCCTGGAGTTTCTGGAACAACTGCTATTGCAAACATGCTCAGTGATTGTCACAGCTATTGAGAACTTGTGCAGATCTTTAGGTGAAGAAAATGAATCACAAAAACCATACTGTAAGGGCAAGGAGATCATTCATCTGTTTTTTTCTACATCCTGGATTAAACACCCATAACAATTATTTAACTCTCAAAACTCCAATTTCCTAAGAAACCTTCTGAGTAATTATTTTCTTGCCAAGATTCTTTTTTTTTTAAGAGAGAGAGAGAGAGAGAGAATTTTTTAATATTTATTTTTTAGTTTTCGGTAGACACAACATCTTTGTTTGTATGTGGTGCTGAGGATGGAACCTGGGCCGCACGCATACCAGGCAAGTGTGCTACCGCTTGAGCCACATCCCCAGCCCTTGCCAAGATTCTTTATGCTTTGCAGGAAGTTTTCTTGAGGCTACATACCAGAGTTCCAGTTACTGGAGAGGCACTTTGTTTTTTTCTTAAGTGGTACTGGCACTTTTTTTTTTTAAGTGGTACTGGAGATTTAACAGTTGAACCCAGGGATGCTCTAAGCTATACCCCCAGCCACCAGCCCCTTTTTAAATCTTTTAAGAATAAGATTTGAGGGGCTGGGGTTGTGGCTCAGAGGTAGAGCACTCACCTAACATGCATGAGGCACTGGGTTCAATCCTCAGCACCACATAAATATAAAATAAAGATATTGTGTCCACCTATAACTAAAAATAATATATTAAAAAAAGAATAAGATTTGAGACTGGGTCTTGCTAAGTTTCCTAGGCTGTCCTCAAACTTGTCATCCTCCTGCCTCAGTGAGTTGTTGTGTGTGCTATAATGCCCAGCTTGGAGATACACTGTATAAATCAGGTTCACCTGGGCTTGCTTAATGTGAATATGTGTTTCTTAGAGCAGATTCAACTCTAGTTAAACTATTCCCCCAAGTTTTTGAATCTTTGGGAATGAGCACCAGCCCCTGACTGTAGGGACAATCGCTAGCATCCCTATTGAACTCCCCTTTCATTCTTCTCTTATTATAGGGTGAGTCTTGCCACTCCAGCAGCTTCTCTCCTACACAGGAGCTTCACCTCTTTTTTGGTTCAGTCAATGGCAAGTGAGCTAATCTCAGAGAGGGAGGACAGGCAGGCTGCCCTACTAAGTGCCCTCTCTGTGCTGTGAATGAGCACAATCACTGTCCAAAAGATCCTTGCCCTGCAAGGAGCCAGGAAACTGATTTGTAATTACCAGAAAGTGCTGTTTTGAAACTTGGGTTTGAGGGGCCCCAGATTTCCATTCACCTTATAGATTGCCAATGACAGTCCCCCCAAAAGCCATCAGCCTTCACACTTGGCTCCTTTCACATAAGTAGCAATAATACCATCCTTGAATAGCACTTGATCATTTCAGAAGCACTTCACTACGTCTCAGCCCAACCCTCACCGCCATCCTTTGTGGTAAGCAGGTATGTGGTAAGGTGATAAAGAAACAAAAACTTAGAATGATAGGAGATTGATTTAAGACTCCTAGAGTCAGCAGCAGAACACAGGTCCTATATGGCTAGTCTCCAGTTCTCTTTGAAGTGCTGGGTTCTCTAGTTGATCCACAACTCTGTTCTAACTTGCACACAAGTCATTTAACTCTTAAAATGAGTTTTCTGTCAAGGGTTTCTTTCCATATCTATGCTGTCCTGCATGCTTGACGCTTACAAGCTCTGTAACTCCCTATCTAAATACAAGGCATTTTCATTTTGGGAGATTGCTTACTTGGAAAATCCTTAAAGTGATATTTTATAAACAGTGATCTGCAGCCTCCTGAGGGTCTGTTGTTATATTCTCAAGGAGGTTTATATGTGTGTTATTATTTGTATACACATACATAGATACACACACATACAAAAGCAAAAATACTAGATGGTGGGCTCATAACTAAGGACTGCCACAGGATTTCAGCATTTCTGCATTCATGTTTATGAAGATTCAGCAAACTACATAGCCCTCAGGCCAGAGTAGCCTACCTCAAAAAATAAGGTTTTTTTGAGACAGCCATGTCAATTCCTTTATTATTGTCTATCACTGCTTTCATGCTACAACTGCAGAGTTGCGTTGCTACGACACAGTATGGCTCTTACAGTCTGAAGTCTTCACTACCTGGCTCTTTGCACAAAACATTTACATTGTGCTTAAAATCATATTGAAACCAAGTACCAGAATTTTAATTATCTGAGCCTATGAAAAATAACACATGATGGAAAGTATTCAAGATAAAGACAAATGAAGCCATAATAGATTGGTCTGCAGCATGAAGGGATCCTGCTAGTGGTCTAAATGGAGACAAGAGAGAAAAACAAGCTATCATCTGGCCCACAGAACAGGCAAGTCCAGATTCAGAGGATCCAGGCTTTTGTAGACAGTTGTGGATTCCCTTAATGAATAGTGATTTAGTTTCAACAAAACAGTATCATTTCACTAAACTTTTAATTGTACTGGCTTTGTGATGTTTGATTTTTCTCTTGTAAATATATATGCATAAAAGCCATAAGTCTAGGGATTTTACATATGGTTTTAGGTTTTATGCATGTAAATATCAATATACTAAAACAATAAATTGTCAATACTGGTAGTCCATGAAAAACACTGAGTAGAAAGAGCAAGACTCACACAGGCCAACACTACACATACACATCACTTGCAAGGTACTTTAATTCCCTGTATAAATATTGCATTGTCATTTTTAGAGGAGACCCTCCCCCCATTAGGAATATGCTAAGCCTCTCAGACCACATGAAATAGAAAGGTCACTGAAAGCCCCTGGACTGTTCCTCTATGCCCTGTTATCCTGCTTATCACATCTGCCCATGTATGGCTGTGTTCAGGCCAGAAGTTCTCATAGCCACAACCTATAAAAGCCCTCAAGTCAATCACACATTCCAAATGGGCAACTTTACTTCATGGTCATTTATTCAAAAAGGACATCTTTCACAACACAAAGCTGAATGTCAATATGTTAAGTTTGGTAACAATTAGGAAGTCGTCTTTTACTGAAATTTTCTGGAAAGAAGTAATGACTACCCAATTATAAGAAATGTAATATCCCCATTAAATAGACAAATCTTATCAGAAGGAAAATAAACTTACCTTTTGATACAGATGTGGAGATTTAGAAGCAATCCAGTCAGTTATTCATTTGATATTAAAAAGCATGAATCAATTACACTGTTTTCCTGAGAACAGTGGAGTGCTTTAAGCTCAGGAAAATGGAGTCTAGTGGTTTCCAAGGTAGTGTTAGCCAAACAGGTGTAACCTGATCATTTGTTTTGACTCATAATTTAGATGAGGATTCTTGAGTCCTGCTATTCACAATATATGTTAAAAGAGAATGAAACTGGAAATAAGAATTCAAAGTCGCTCATGTAGTCAGTTCATTGAATATTCTTTATTATAAAACCTTGCCATTATCCAAACAAAGAAGCTAAAACAATGAGAGTATCTCATCTCTCCAAATGATTTTCCAAGGTTTTATCAAAAGTTATCTACAAAAACTCAATAGGTGAAATAACAATTTTAGTTAATCTATCTTTAATGAATTTAGTTTAACTGCATATGTGCTAGTCTTAGAAATTCAGAAAGTAGAAAGACGTAGGTTTTTTTTTTTTTTTAAGTCAACTTACAAATTTTATTGGCTAATAGACAACTGCCACACATTCTTCTTACCACCATCCTACTATTCCTGAATTTAATTTGCAAAGGGAAGCAGAGACCAAAGAGGATTTCTTAGGTACTCAATAAAATTTGAAGAAGTGGGAAAAAAAATATACTTATAGTTACTGAAAATAAAACTTGCCTCAGTTAAGAGAAGATTTTTCTTTGTACATATTTTAAAATAGCTTTATTTTCCATTTAGGAACTGTGGGAAATACCTATTTATATTGTTTGGAAGGGTACCCCATTTCGTAATAGGTAGTCTTCCATATTCTTTTCAAATGGTCTTCACATTTCCTATGAATTGATGCCATCTGGCAGAGCCTTCTCTTCAGCTTTCTGACATCTTATCAAGAATTTGTAGAGGGGCAAGAATTCTTGCCCGATTAGTTTCCACAATGCAGCCATTTAACACCATCTCGTCCAAAATGATGTGTACTTTATCCAAATTAAACATTATATCTAGTTCACTCACTCGGCTGAAGTACTCGTCTAAAACTTCCACAAAATTGTGGATGAATTCATAAATAGCCATCTCATTCTCAGTGTCATTAACTCCAACCACAATGAAGAGAGCTGCATATTGCCGATATATCAGCTTAAAATCCTTATATTCAATAAAAGAGCACTGTTCATTGGATCGAGAGAGACAACTCTTTATGACTTCTGTTTCCAGAAGTGTTCGCTTATTAATCTCCACATGCTCATAGTACTTAGAAAGTCGGGTCTGGCCTTGTTTATTCACCATAAGGAAAAATTTTATCATTTTTTTCCTGGCCAGTGTTTTTCCAAATACAGTTTAAAAGTTATAGCAAGGGATGGCTGTCATTGGAACCTGTGCGGCTCGGGGGATGATGGTCCTGCGACGGGTCTTCCTAGGGTCCCCCTCCCCCTTTCCCGCTGAAGCTTGTTCTCCAACCCTTACTAGCTACGCGGTATGGGTTTCCTCGGGGCAGCCATTTTGGCTTTTAGTATGGCGTCTGCCAAGACGTAGTTTTTTGTTAACATTTGTATAAGTGTAAAGCAGACTATTACAGAGGGAAAAACTAAGAATAGAAAGAAAAGTGAAAAGCATTTTCCCAAACACAGGAATCATTGATAACAAATATTTTCTGTGTATATAATGAACAGATATGGGGGGCATTTTATAGTACTTTATCTCTCTCCACCCCCAGTCCCACCCTCACCTGCCCTGGTTACTGGGGATTAAACCCAGGGCATTCTACCACTGAACTACATGCTCAGTTCTTTTCATTTTATTTTGAGGTGGACTAACTTGCCAAGGCTGGCCTCAAACTTGTGATAATCCTGCCTTGGTCTCTCAAGTAGCTGAAAATATGGGTGTGTATGTCACTGCACCCTGCTAAAATACTTAATCTTTTCCTGGAAATGTTTGTCAAAATCAATTTATCTAAAATTAAAAATATATAAAAAATAAAAGTGACATGATTTCCCCTTAGAACCAGAAGAGCTTAGAAACAGAATTTTACAGTTGGAAATGATATTTTAGATGTCAAGAAATTTAATGCCTTCATTAAAAAAAAAAAAAAAAAACCATACACACAACCACAGAGAAAGTGGCTTGCTTTATGTCTCAGGCCAGTATAGAAAAGAGCTGTGGGCTAGGCGGGGTGGTGTATGCCTGTAATCCCAGGGGCTTGGGAGGCTGAAGCAGGAGATTCAGGAGTTGAAATCCAGCCTCAGCAACTTATTTAACCACTTCTTTCTGATTTTAGTTTGTTTGTTTTGAGGTGCTTGGTAGATTTCATTTTGATATTTGCCTCTTCGGTATGAGAATGTGGCCCTACAAGATAATCAGGAAGAGAAGAGCCAGAGGCAGAATGAGGCAGTATAAGACAGCGCCTTAAATAAATATTATTTATTTAATATTTAAAATATTAAGGGGTAGGGATGTGGCTCAGTGGTTAAGCACCCCTGGGTTCAACCCCAGTACCAAAAAAAGAAAAAGAAGAAGAAGAAAGAAAAGAGCAGGGATGCTCTTTACTCTGCTATTCACATCATAGACGTGAGTTTCAGTGCAGGTTCTAGTGGCTCCTTATGTTCACAACCTTTAAAAGTGTCTCCAAATGTCCATATATTCAATCCAAAATTCAAAATGGTACAGTTTATTTTTAAAACTCATCATTTAATAATTAGTTATATTACTGGATAAACTTTCTCCATACCAATAAAGCAATTTTGTTTTGTTTTGTTTTTACAGAGATCTAAGGATTCCAGAATATTGTCCAGTTCCCAAAGGGTTACTATCATGGGGAAACCCCAAAGCCTCATCTCTAGAATTCTTCATCCCTTTCAGTTTCCACGCTTGTTATAGTTAGCACTTGCCAAACTTTATCCATGACCTTACACCATTACCTGTTTGTGCTGAGACACCTGCTAGGAACAGTTGGGCTGAAGTAGTTTGTTGTTAGGACAACCTTGAAGGTGACCTTATTGAATCCCTGAGCACTGATGATTCAGAGGATGCAAGCCTTCCAATAATGTCAGCATCAAACAAACAAAGGAAGAATGCAGCAATTCAATATTGCAGAAGTGTCATTTTCTAGTCAAAGATCCATCCAGGGAAAGGGATCTTTGCGCAGAAGCTGGAGGAAGGAGAAATTGGCAGAGGCAGAATGCAATTGGGAGAGGCTCTATAGACAGATGGAGTTCAAGTTCCATCTTTATAGAATGAAGTGTTCTCTGTAGAGTGTCTCTGATATACTTTTGACACAGATTTGAAACTTCCACCTCCGTTTTTTGTTTGGGAGAAACAAATATAATTAAGACTGCAAAAAGAGTGGAGTACTGTAATATAAATAATATCATTTTGAAGTCAGAAAGCTAAGAGTGGCCAGAATTAAGAAAAACAGAACAGGAAAAAGGATGGGAAGAATAATACAAACTTGTTAAACCACTTCTTTCTGATTTCAGTTTGTCTGTTTTGAGGTGCTTAGTAGATTTTATTTTGATACCTGCCTCTTCGGTGTGAGAATGTGGCCCTACAAGATAATCAGTAAGAGCACTGCCAGAAGCAGAATGAGGCAGTATAAACCAGTGCCTTGGAATGAACAATGTGTCTCCCTGGAGGAAATACACACGACTAGGTGAAAAACCAGCCTCTACCTCAGAGCAAAGCCTATCCAAGGAAGGGGGCGTGACCTTTGTCCTTGGAAAGACCCACAGAGCACTCCTAGGCACATACCCACCCTGTTGAGTTGTTTATCTACAAATAACAGGAGAGTTCTGCAGCACCAGCTGTCCCTGACTCAGTCAGGCTAGCAACCCCCTAGCAACCACCAATCAGTATGAGACGGGGGAAAATACCTGGGATGCCAGATGACCCTCAGTAATTTATGGTGGTTGATAACATGTTGGGAAACCAAGTAGTTTAGCAGTACACCCCTCGTGGCCTAAACCAATCAGTTCAAAAGAATCCCCTTCTTGTACTAACCAATCACCCTTACCCAACTTCTTCCCGCCAGTGATTGTGCTAATCAATGTTAAGAGTTGTTGTTTGATTTTCCCACAGTGTGTGATGATTTGCTAAGAGACGCTTTGATGCATGTGAAGTCCCTGCCTTCCCCAAAGAGTGTATAAAACTGCTGAAAACCCTGGGCTTGGAGCCTCTCAGGGTCACCAGTTGCTGTGTGTGTGAAGAGGACCGAGCTAGCTCGCAATAAACGCCTCTTTGCTGCTTACATCGATCTTGGTCTCTGGTGGTCTTTTGGGGGTCCCAAATTCGAGCATAACATAGGACTGAGGAAGAGCCGTGTTAATGATCACTCTGTAAAGAAGAACTAGAGTTGTGTTGAATGCAAGTGCCACAGGAAAACATCACCAAGGTTCTAAGCATTAGCACCACAACCAATTTCAGTGATGGAAGGATAAGCACTACCATACACTTGGAACCGTACAAGCATCACACTATGCTCTGAACTTGACCTTTGTGCTTTCTCACCATTCTGTCCCCATCAAGAGACATTAGGATTCTGATATGTTTTGTTCTAGTTAGAGGCAGTTGGAGCATTGTGCTTCATTCTGATTTTAAAAGGGCCTTTGACAAACTCAAGTAGCTCTAGAAGATGGTGACCAGGATAATCAGGAAGTCTCTAACCATATCATAAAAAGAAGAATGGGAGTAGTGATACCGCTGGTTATCGGTGAAGAGTCCTGCTTCCCCACATGTTGAAGTTTGAATATCAGAAGAGCACGCCAAGGCAAGCATATGAAGCAGGGTTTATTTAAAAAGGGGTAACATTGACTTCTCTCACGAGGGAGAAGGGGCCATAGCTGGTATCCTGGTATTCCAAGAGGCAAGGTGTTCTGCCCTTTTTAAATGTCCTAGGATTCCTTTGTTCTCCTGTCTTTCCCCACTTATCTCTCTCCTTCCTGCATGCCTTGACTAGGCCCAGGAAATGCTCCGTGGGATGGTCAAAAGGTGGGAAATAGGTGGGCTAAAGAGGGAAGGGCAGAGTGGAGTAGACAAGGACACATTAACAACTTTATAGCTCCCGGGAGGGAGAGGACATTCCTGGGACAGTTACCTTGGCAACAGGTTGGAGCAGGAGCAGGTTCTTGATAAGATCCTTCAGGGGACAAACTCCAACTTCCCAGACTCACACAAAATTGGCTTCCTAGATCCGACCTGACTCAATTTACCTATCTATACTGACTACCTATCTTTAAATCTGGCTTTAGTAGCTGAAGATGGTTAGCCTGGAGAAGCAAGGTACAAGGTAAGTTACTTACTAGAGTTTGATGGCATTTTATTCCAAGATTTTATTTTATTTTTTTGCAATAGAGATTCAATAGGCTCCGAGTTCAGACCAGTGCAAAAATCCTAGATCTCTTTCTTTCTTAACTTTGTGACCTTGCTCAAGATGATTGACTTCTCTGATCCTCCATTTTCTTCTCTGCAAAATGAGAAAGGCCCTCCATACTTCATAGGGTCTTCATAATGGTTAAATGAAACAATAGCCACTCAGTCAATGATACAGCTATCATTATCTTTGAAAGCAGTACTCACCTTGAGTTGTGAAACATACTGCCCCCCCCCTCCAAAAAAAATGACACAAAAGATGAGAGAAGTATGCATAGATTGGAAAACACAAAGCATAACAAACCTGTTGTTCTGGGCAATCAAACACTTATGGGGAGTACTTGCCCCCCCATGTCAGAGCAATAGCTTTTTGGTACAATTTGCAAACACAAGATACCAACACTTAGATAGAAGTTTTATCAGAAGCTTGTGGGAGATTTGTAGTAGCTAAAGCAATTCCAGGAACTCAATGAACATTTTTTAATAATGACTGATATTTGTGACATCAAGTCTGCCAAATGACAAATGCTTTTTAGATTTCCTTTTCTGGTAAGAATGCATTGAGGGTCTCTGTGCCTCTTTCAGTGCCAAGATGATTCATCCATCTTCTGACTGATGTAAGAAAGGATTGAGGGGAAATATTCCGTAGATACAAAATATTGGAAGGGCATAGGAATGTCATATTTAAGTATCATTTCTAAGCCTAAAATAAGTTTTCAAGTGAAAATGTAAGACTTGACCTCTTCATTTTAATTATTGAGTCCTTCCTGGCAGCACAGAGGCATAAAGGGGCTTTCCCCACTCCACAGCTCCAGGCCTGGCCAGACACCAGCTTTCCTCCCAGTAATTAAAAAGATTTGTATTTCAGTATTCACACTTAGAGCATCAGATATTTTCTAGGCAATTTTCACAGCTAAGAAATGTTTTGAGATCTTATTTTTTCTAAGAAAGAATAACTCACCCATTACCTAACATCCATTTACATCAACTTAGCTACCACTGATTCAGACCTTTCAGCGTTTGACAAGGGTCTAAGTTGATGGATGCATGTGCCTCCAGCCCTAATTAGTTTTTTTTGTAGTTGTTGAATCAACAAATGAAAGGCC